TGCTGTTGCTGTTGTAGTTGTTGTCGTTGATGTTGTTGATGTTGTTGATGTTGATGTTGATGTTAATGATGACGATGACGATGATGATGATGATGATGATGATGATGATGATGATGATGATGATGACGATGATGATGATTAGGCGGTAGCGGTGGCGGTGGCGGTGGCGGTGGTGGCAGTGGAATTCGTAGTAATTATAGCGTTGGTGATGGCGAGGTGGGGCGTGGGAGTGGTGGCGTTTGTGGTGGTGGTGGTGGTATGGTGCGGGTGATGTTTGATAGTGATGTTGTTGGTGGTGGTGTTGCTGTAAATGGTAGTGACGAAGAGGGGTAATCGTGGCGTGGTGGAATGGCAGCAACGGTGATAGTAATAGTTAATAAAAACGGCGAGAGGTTTTAATAATAGACGCAAATTATGAACGAGATTTTAATCCTCCTCGGAGTTTTATCAGATTTCGTCAGACAGCCGATGACCAACTTTATTAGCGACTATAATCCTTTTATCTAAGCCGATATGCCATGCGCAATCTCTATCTACGATTTTGTTTGGCTCATTACGCGGGCTTTATACATCGCGGATAGCAAAAGTAAATCCCCCAGACCCTCCTCTCGCTAGCCTGTTCCGCCTCTACTCTACTCTACTCCACTCTACTCTACTCTACTCTACTCTACTCTACTCTACTCTACTCTACTCTACTCTACTCTACTCTACTCTACTCTACTCTACTCTACTCTACTCTACTCTACTCTACTCTAGCAGACGAAGTGTAAAGAAACGATTTTAGTAATTTTGGCAGAGCGTCCGTCAAGAGCGAACGGTTAATTTGTATTTCCGCTAGGAAACTCAAATCGTAGTCACGCTTATGCCTATTTAGACGAATGATTCGCATGCACGCCCGCCGGGGGAACTGCGCGTCTTATCCGCACGCAGCGCTCATGATCAACGGCAAAGCTGTTCCACGTCATTTAATATCATGTCTCTCTGGATGAGACAAGCATTATTGCTATCTGGTGACAGTTCATATATTTGCTTTGCTTAATCGAAAATTCGACCGATCAATCCGCTAGTTTAATTGACCGTCTTTAATGTGACGGAAATAGCGGCTGTGCGAGTAACAAGCCTATCTCATAGCGACAAGGTCCCCGACCGCGGCTAGCGCCTGCTTCACATTAAGATGGCTCATGGCTCCACTCTACAAACAAAGCTGCCGACCGATTTACACGCAAGAGTATCGCACCAGCAGGAAGTCTCGCTCTACGCGCCTCATTACCCCCCAGAAGATGTCGCTGGCAATTAAAATACGCGCCTATAGGAGGTGTACAACAGTAAGCGTCCGCAATTGTTCACCGTTGCACTATTTCGTCTCTAGAAAAGGCCTTTTTTGGCATTTTTTTTCGCCGAAATTCGGCACTAGAGTGCAATAATTTGCATTATGCACGCAAGGTAGATGCCTCGTGGACGTCTAGAAAGCATTAGAAGTAAAATTATTCGTGTTGTGTAATTGTGCCATTCCAGCTAGTGGCGTAGCCATCGTCGCCGGTCGGCCATTTTTGTGTATGAAACGGGATCCGACTACTCTGTAGAAATTCGCATCATAGAGCTGGCAAAAGTTTCGAGCGGAGCATAGAGCACGAATCTGTAGTTATTTAACATGAATAAAGTGTATGTTTTGTAAGCGCAGTAACAGTGTGCGTATTTTTAATTAATTTCTGTTCAATGCTTATTCAGGCCTGCAGTCTATGGACGCCCTCTACTGTTGTTCAACACCTATAAGCAAGCGGAAAGTAAGCGCGGACTTATCTTGCTTTGCTTCTAATACACTCTCAATACAATCTCTACACTTCTAATACAATCTCCTTTGCACTCGCAACTCGTAACGCTGTTTGCGAAGTATTGTTTGGCTACCAAAGGCACTATCTATGACGAATCGTTTCGTTAACCGACCACTGCCCCTAACAAAGCACGTGGTCATCTCAAACCAACTTTTGATAAACTTGTACGCTGCGAAAATCCTGTCCTTCTGTCCTCGGCGAAAATCTGTCATATCGGAGTTATTCTCTGAATCAGTGTTTGCGTTTGTGCTTGTGTGATCGTTTTTGTAGCTGTGCTTGCGTGTGTGCTTGTGCCTATGTTTGCGCATGGGATTGTGATGATGTTGCGTGTGTGTTATTGTCCGAGGTTATCACTCTCTGCCTCGCTCCCCCCCCTCCTTTCTCTCTCGCTCCCACTATCTCGCTCCCCCCCGCCTCTCTCTCTCATCTCTCTCTCTTTCTCCTCTCTCTCTCTCTCTACCTCTCTCTCTCTCTCTTCTCCTCTCGCCTCCCCTCTCTCTCTCTCTCTCTCTCTCTCTCTCTGTCTTCTGCTGGTCCGCTGCAGCGCGCTCTCTCTGCTCGCTCTCTCTCTCTCTCTCTCTCTCCGCCCTCACCCCTTCTCTCTCTCTCTCTCTACTCTTTCTCTCTCTCTCTCTCTCCCTCTTCTCTCGCTCCCCCTCTCTCTCTCTCTCCTCTCTCTCTACTCTTCTCTTCTCTGTCTCCTTCAGCGCGCGCGCTCTCTACTCTCGCTCTCTTCTCTCTCTCTCTCTCTCGGCCCTCCCTCCTTCTCTCTCTCTCTCTCTCTCTCTCTCTTTCTCCTCTCCCTCTCTCTCTCTCTTCTCTCCTCCCCCCTCTCTCTCTCTCTCCTCCTCCTCTCTCTCTCTTTCTCTACTCTGCTCTCTTGGGCAGCGCGCGGGCGCCTGCTCTCTCTACTCTTCCTCTTCTTCTCTCTCTCTCTCCTCTCTCTGCTCTTCTTCGCGCGCGCGCTCTCTCGCTCTCCTCGCTCTCTCGCCCTCTACTTCGCTTCTCTCTATCCTATCGCGCCGCGCCGCCTCTCTCTCCTCTCTCTCTCCTTTCCTCTCTCTCTCTCTTCTCTCTACTCTTCTCTCTCTACTCTTTCTTCTCTCTCTCTCTTCTTTCTCTTTCTTCTCTATCCTCTCTCTCTCTCTCATCCTCTCTTTCTCTTCTCTCTTCTCTCTTTTTCTCTTTCTCTCTCTTCTCTCTCCTCTCTCTCTCTTGTCTCTCATTTTCTCTCTCTATTCGCTCGCGCCCTCTCTCTTTCGCTCTCTCCCTAAAAATAATGTATAGAAAAACTCACTAGCGCCATGATGACACGTAAATTAAGGATACACTTAAGCTTTTGCACGGGTATTGCTCTAACGAGGAGTAAACGGTTATTAACAAATAAATCGAATCGATCAATGTATTGTGTATCAGATTAACAACGCAGCGTAATATATGTGTAAGCATTCGAACAGTGCAACGTTAAGCAATGTTGCCTCAAATATGCAATGTTAACAAACGAGTAGTCTTCGGTTTAAACGAAATTCATCCGTTGATCGATATTTTTTCTTTTTATTCTCAGCATTAGGTTCGACCTTGTTATTAACTGTTTTATCGACGATCAGTTACTAGCATAACTACATCCATGCTGCGGAAAAATCGGCCCCAGCCTTGCCGGACAATGTATACGCCCACTAATAACACTCAACTGTATATGATTTACTCGCGGTAATAGTTACACTGTTCGGGAAAAATTTTGTCGGGGGAAGTAATTGTTCGATGAAACCTTATCCAGGGCAGAGAGTCTTCAAAATTATTGATGATTGCCTGGCGGTTGTTTCGTCGGATTGCCAAAGAGGATGATTTCTAGCAGGATACTGCTGTTCATGTGGGACTGCTTGGTTGCCGGACAGATTGTTACCGGATAAATATGGAAAGAGCGAATATTTTCGTCGGTTATGTTGTTTAGCCGGACACCGACGAGGCAGATATCAGAGCTGGGTGTGTTATCCGGTACATGGACATCGTCTAAGAGAACATCGTTAAGAGGGATAATAAAGAACGTGGTTAATTGTATTATGTATAATACTGTTGTACAATTGTGTGGTATCGTATACAATTGTATGCGGTATTTTGGCCGCTGCGGTTTTTATACTCATCGTTTCGTATCGTTTCGTATCGTATCGCTTCCCGTCGTGTCGCATCGTATCTCGTATCGTATCGTGCCGCATCGCATCGTATTGTATCATGTCGTGTCATATCCACTGATATTGTATCGTTCCCGAATCGTATCTAAAATGACATTTCCAAGAACGACACGTCCGGTCGATGGATATATCACAATAGATGATGTGACGATATCAGTAGTATAGGTATCATACCTGTAACGTAGCCTCATATACTATACTATATATAGCAATACTATATACTATAGTATAATAGCCATACTATACAGATATATACTATACTATATATAGCCATACTATATAGTATATACATATATACTATAGTATAATAGCCATACTATACAGATATATACTATACTATAT